CCCCCCCCCCGTTCAGGACTTTGGGGAAAAAAAAAAAACGCCTTGACAGCGGGGCAGGGCGCGTAATGGGGGTGGGGGCCCTCTAGGAAAGTGGGGCTATGGGCTTTCAAGGCCAGGTCTCCCGGGTACTCGGGTGTGTGCACAGAGGGACACTGTAGGGAGAGAAGGCTGGAGCAGGGGGAGGAAAGACCGAAGGCCCTGGCACCGAGGGTTTAGAGGGAACACGGGATGTCTGGAGTTCCAAATTCGGGGTTTATGGGGTCTGAACAGAGCAAGAGGAGCTGATCTTTAGGGGAGTCACTCGGACCTGTGCCTCAAGTAAATGACAAATTGGGGAGCTGGAAGAGTATTTAGAGAGTCGGGTACCAGTCTCTGCAGCTAGGAATTCTAGGACTTGACAAGGTCTGTTATTCCTCTGCCCACCACCCCTGTGCGCAGCTTTGACCCCTCACCCTCACTGTAGCCCAGCTTCTTCCAAAGGCCACCCACCACACGGGTGGGCCCTCGGACTGAGGTCCGTCCACCTCCCCAGCCCCCTGCTGAGGATTCCTCTGAGCTCCTGCTCAGCATGGAGGGCTTGGAGGTGAGGCCAGGGGATGGAAAGGAAGATCTTTTCTCAGAGAACCAGGCACCCAATAAATATTTAATTCTCCTCTTTGCTTTTATCTCCTGACCCACTGAGACAAATCAGCTCATTAGGCAGTGATTCCCGGAGCTCAGAAAGCAGAAAGCATGCCTGGAAAGAGGGGGCAAGGGTGGGGAGCAGTTTCAGAGCCCCTTGGAGTTACCAGACTTTCTCAAACATGCCACCCCAAGGCCTTCTTGGGAAAGGACCACTACATGGCTTGAAAACATCCCTTGATAGGGTCAGGTCGAGTCTTCTGTCTTGTGAGGCTCAGAACAGGCACGTGTCCGTCGATTCTGAAGGACCAGGCTCCTTCCAGGGGCCCAATTTTCCGTGGGGCTCTGGGGCTAATTACGTTGCGGTGAGAGCAGAGAGATGATTTTTCAAGGCTCCGATGGACGCCTCTTTCTGACAGTTGAAGGGACAGCTGGTGTAGCCCAGGGTGCCAAGAGGAGCTGGAGAACAGACCTCTCTGTGGGGCCCCAGGGCCTTGGGTGCTCCCTTCTCATCCCTGGTGAGAAGTCAGGCCAAAGACACTGGCACATAGGGATGCTGCCTGAGGGTGTCCTGCTGACCTGTGGCTCCCTGCTGACCCTCTCTGTTTCTTGGATCGCTTCCCCCCCCCACTTGGCTTCCTCCTGCCAGCTCCTTGCTCTCCCTGAGGCCCCCTCTGAAGCAGTGGGAGGGAGAGCAGGCTCTAAATAAATCCACTGGGCTCATCTCCCTCCTCTTCTTCCCCCGTGCCAGGCAAGAGAGGAGCTGCAGCCTGCCCACACACTCGCCAGGCAAGGGGGGCAACCACCAGGGCACGGCGCCAACTCTGGAGTACTGAGACTCTGGCTGTTTGGGTATAATGGGCTGGGGAAGTAAGACCCTAACGGACTCCACAAGGTGTTCCTACCGTCTTCATTGATACCAGAGTAGCCCAGGCAATAAATAATACCTGAGGGCACGGGAATTATGGAAAGTGGCTCTACCGTAATTCAGGACACAACTCATTAAACAATTTAGGGAGAGACCTGTCGTTTCTCGCCTAGCCAGGGTTAAGAGGTCTTCTAGCCTAGATACCCCCAGACATAGGCAGTGAGGACTAAATTAGGCTGAGCGCTAGCATCCGCAGAGGTCAAAGCCACACTTCTCCCAACACCTGCTGGGTACCTCGGAAGTATCTGATGCATACACAGTGGGTGGTCATCCTGCCTCCTTCCAGCCTTTCTCACCTGCTGGCCTCTTATCCCCTTAGCCAGCCACACCCTGCAGCCACGCTTATGTCCTGGGAGTGAGGTCCCTCACTCCGTGTCAAGGCTTTTTTTTTTTTTCCTCCCGGGGACTCAGCCTCGTTCTGCCTTGGCTGGGGAGATGGGGAGCAGCAGACACCCTCTACTTGTGCGGAACAAAAGGCGGCACCACTCTGGGGCTGCCTTGAGCCTTTGGTTTACAATATAGACATAGTCTCCAGCCCAGATTCCAGGGCTGACACCAAGTGACCAGCCCCCCCCCACCCTCTGCCCAGGCTGGGCTGGGGTCAGAGGCATGGTCGACAGGTCGACCGTGTGTGTTTGTGGGCTCCAGAGAGAGTCGTCTGGCTCTGCTGCCTCGTTAGGTGATCAGAGCCCGAGAGTTCCAGGGTCTGTTCTTCAACCTGAACATTCGGAAACCGCTTTCCTTACACACATCCTTTTTTTTTTACCTTTTCTGTGCCGCTGGCCATCTCAGAATTGAGGGAAAAATCCCTCCAGGCAGCTGCATGTAAGGAAAAGTGTCGGAAAAGAGTCCCTTTTCCCCCCGACCCAGTTAGGTACCTTAACTTTCAGCTGCTTGTCTCAAAGTTGAAGTTCCCTTATTTGTTTGGCATCTTCCTTGTGGCCTTGAAAGTGAACTCCTTCAAGTGTACACTCCTTACCCCAAGACCCTACTATGGGCAGGACTTAAGGACTGTCCCTGTTCACATCACCAAAGGCACCCCATTCCCCAAGGGCCTGTATCGCCTGGGTTGCCTGGTACCAGCGTAGCCTCTCTCCAGGGCCTGGTATCCCCAGGCCCCAGGGCAAGGCTAGGGAGGTACAGGCCAGGTGGTGGGTGTGTGATGGCCTCGCCTGTACCCAGGAGAGGCTTTGTGTTGCTCTCTCATTCCTGGCTTCTTGCTGCTCACACCTGGCCGGTCCTAGCAGGTGTGAGAGGAAAGACAGTTGTGGGTGGGGAGAGCAAGGGAGACTTCCAGGAGTCTGCAACTTCCGGCCCAATCTTCACACCGCAGGGCAAATGCGCATCCATTTAACAGATCCCAAAACCTTGTTAGAAGCCTGCTGGGGTGGTACACCAGCATCTGGGAGGCGGAGGCAGGCAAATGTCTATGTTTGGTCTATATGGAAAATTCTAGGCTAGCCAGTGCTACATAGTGGACCCTGGCTCAAATACGAACAACAAAAAACTTGGATAGAGTCTTAGTGGTCAGGTGGTCACATTGTGACAGGGCCTACCAGCGTGTGTGTGTGTGTGTGTGTGTGTGTGTGTGTGTGTGTGTGTGT